GTAATCTGTCACAATATCACCTGTTCAGGGAGGTTTTTCAGATACATGCAAGTCAGTTGCTCTCTCCTATGCATACAAGTGTTTGAAGGATGAGTAGGCAAGATATAATCGCTTACTAAAAATATCAACTAAAAGTTGTAATGTGTTTGGTACTTTCATCTTATCTTTAAGATTTAATGATACATGTATTATTCCTATCTTAAAAACAAAGACTAGGCCCGCGTGGTGGCTCAGCCTGTAATCCCAACACTTTGGGAGGCTGAGTTGGGAGGATCACCTGAAGTCAGGAGCCCAGACCAGGTTGGCCAACATGGTGAAACCTCATCTCCACTAAAAAAATAAAAATTAGCTGGGCATGGTGGCACACACCTGTAGTCCTAGCTACTCGGGAGGCTGGGGTAGAAGAGTCACTTGAACCTGGAAGGCAGAGGTTGCAGTGAGCCGAGATGGTGCCATTGCACTCTAGCCTGGGCGACGGAGCAAGACTCTGTCTCAAAAAAAATTAAAAAATAAGCCGGGTGCAGTGGCTCACGCCTGTAATCCCAGCACTTTGGGAGGTGAGATCACGAGGTCAGGGCAGATCACGAGGTCAGGGGTTCAAGACCAGCCTAACCAACATGATGAAACCCAGTCTCTACTTAAAAATACAAAGATTAGCCGGGCATGGTGGTGCACTCTTGTAATCCCAGCTACTTGGGAGGCTGAGGCAGGAGAATTGCTTGAATTCGGAAGCCGGAGGTTGTGGTGAGCCGAGAGCGCGCCATTGCACTCCAGCCTGGGCGACTCAGTGAGATTCCATCTCAAAATAAAATACAATTAAATTAAAATTAAAAATAAAAATAAAGACCAAATGTCCAGAACATATTTAATATGAATATTACAAAGCCAGCCAGTTCTGTCTGGCATGTAAGCTGGGAGTCTTTTCCACTCTTCTCTCTCCCCATCCTATTTTTTTTAAAGCATTTTTTTTTTTTTAACAGGAGTGTATATTCGGGCCGGGCGCGGTGGCCTAAGCCTGTAATCCCAGCACTTTGGGAGGCCGAGACGGGTGGATCATGAGGTGAAGAGATCGAGACCATCCTGGTCAACATGGTGAAACCCCGTCTCTACCAAAAATACAAAAAAATTTAGCTGGGCATGGTGGCGTGTGCCTGTAATCCCAGCTACGTGGAAGGCTGAGGCAGGAGAATTGCTTGAACCCGGGAGCCGGAGGTTGCAGTGAGCCGAGATGGCGCCATTGCACTCCAGCCTGGGTAACAAGAGCGAAACTGCGTCTGAAAAAAAAAAAAAAAAAAAAAAAAGGAGTGTATATTCAGGGCAACTGGAATCTATATTCCTACTAAGCATTTTTTAAACAGAATGTTTCGAATCCATCTCTATTACACTGTTTATCATGCTGAAGAATAAACATCTATTTATATATCTGATTCCACAACAAAATCATAACATCTATTTCTAAACGCTTAGCACATAAAATGCGCTCAATAAAAGGTAAACTAACTTCTCAGATCCACCTCCAAGTGCCTATACCTCTTCTAGCTATCAGCCCTGTGATGTCAATAAAGTCACATAATTTCCCTGAGACTCGGATCAAAAGCTGTAAGAACGGACAATGCACCCAAGGCCCCACTTAACTAGTATTTAGGAAGATGGAAGACTAATTCCGTGCGGGGAAGTGCGCGGAAAACTCTCAAGTCCCTTACTAACCCACCTGTGCCCGGAGGCGTGACATAAGTCCGCCGCGGGTTCGCCAGCACCTTGCCATCCCGCACCACTCCCACGCCAATCTTATTGGCGCTGCCTTCAAAACCGAGCACCGCCGGCATGGCGAAGCCGGGGAGAAAACGCCGACAGGACTCCTAGCAACCTAAGAAGTGGAGGTCCTTCCAAGTCCGCGCTGTGCCGCAGCTTTCCGGGGCACAGAAGAAGAAGGCGAGACTGCAGATAGCACTGCGAGAGACACCACAGAACTCCCGCGAGCGGAGACCCGTCAAGGCCCCTCCAGGGACCTGTCTTCCTAACTGCCAGGGACGCCGAGCCGCCTCTGTGCTTTACATTCCTATCCGTTTTTCTATCCCTTTCCTATGGTCCAGCCCAGCCTTCGCTATTGTTTTTTTCCCCTCTTGCACAGCATTAGGATCTTAAGCCACATTCAGAGAATGTGCCGTGCATCTGGCACAACAATAAACACCCCGAAGGAGGGTTGGGGCCTTAAGTCTCCTGGGGAGAAGGGAGGCTAGGCCAAGTGTCTCCATTACGTGGTACCAGACAGACCAATCACGCACATTCTTCTGCCACGTGACTGGAGTCTCGGATCACGTGACCAGATCCGCTACCCACGTGGGGGCACAGCGTGCACCGTTCTTTGTGCTCGGGTTAGGAGGAGCTGTGCTGCGTTCTGACCAGTGCAGGCAGATACGGGGTTACTCTTCTGCTCGTAAGAGGGGCTTCGCTGGCAGTCTGAACGGCAAGCTTGAGTCAGGATCCTTAATTAAGATCCTCAGCTGGAGGGCAGATCTCGCCAGTAGGGTAAAAGGCACTATGAAATGATCTTGTTAGTGGGTGAGGGGCTGAAGGGCATATGATGCACGGAGGCTGGGAAAGGATTGAGACATAACATGGTTTGAAAAGCGGGGACCTGGTGCGGGGACGCTTTAGGGGAGGAGTCTTCTCCCCAGGTTTAGCTGATTTCATTTATTTGCGTCTGTAGGCAACGCGGTAAAAATACTCCTTCGGTGGGCGACACGGTACAGGTGCCTCCGAAGGGCGTTCGTTACGGGAATGCCGAAGCGTGGGAAAAAGGGAGCGGTGGCAGAAGACGGGGAAGAGCTCAAGACGGGTAAGAGAATGAAATAAGCCCCTCTTCCTAGAAGCTGCGGCGGGAATTTCCTTGATAACGGTAACTACAGGCCGCTCATTTTTTAAGGGGTTTGTGAAGAAGTAGCGGTAACATCACACTTTTGTTGGGTTTATAGTTAACGCCGGATCGAGGTTGGAAACTACCAACTTTTTGTCACTATGTATTACTCATTTTATAGAGCCAGAGGCCAAGAAGAGTAAGACGGCCGCAAAGAAAAACGACAAAGAGGCAGCAGGAGAGGGCCCAGCCCTGTATGAGGACCCCCCAGATCAGAAAACCTCACCCAGTGGCAAACCTGCCACACTCAAGATCTGCTCTTGGAATGTGGATGGGCTTCGAGCCTGGATTAAGAAGAAAGGATTAGGTGTAAGTGGAATTTAAGGAGGGGAAGAGAGTATTTTTTCCTTTTTTTAAATATCATTTTCTACTTTGGTAGAGATATTCTTTAGTATTGAATGATCTTAGGGGTTTAGTCACCCCTTTTTTCCGTTTAGCCTTCAGGCTGTTTTGTTTTTCTCCTGCCCAGGAGAGCTTTATGTGGGGCTTCCCCACATTTTGCCAGTCGTGTTTCTAAATGTCCGTTTCTTCACTTCCATTGCCATTTTCGTTTAATGTTCTCTCCTCTTCCCAGACTGTTGCAAAAACCTTTTTTCTATACTTCCTCCATTTTATCTTCAGCATGTCCTCCATTCCATTAACTATAGCTTAAAATCTTAGCTTGCCATCCACTGCCTATGGAAAAAACACAATCTCCTTAGTAGAGCGTGTAATACTTTATCTTCCTCTATTAGTTTTTATTTATATAGCTTATAATTGTTTAAATGTTGTACTACTTGAACTCATTAGGCCAAGGGACTGTTTAACCTGTGCATATCTATGACTTAGCACATATTCAGTAAATGTTCTGCTGAATTGATGTTTTCCACCTTTTCACTTATAGTGGGTAAAGGAAGAAGCCCCAGATATACTGTGCCTTCAAGAGACCAAATGTTCAGAGAACAAACTACCAGCTGAACTTCAAGAGCTGCCTGGACTCCCTCATCAATACTGGTCAGCTCCCTCCGATAAGGAAGGGTACAGTGGCGTGGGCCTACTTTCCCGCCAGTGCCCACTCAAAGTTTCTTATGGCATAGGTGAGACCCTGTTAATCCCTAATGCCTGAGCTCTTCAAATCCAATAGCTAATTCTCCATCTCTGCCCCACCTCTTGATTGCTTTCTCTTTTCTTGTGGTTTTTTTATGCTAATTCTGTTTCATCATTTCTGTAGGTGAGGAGGAGCATGATCAGGAAGGCCGGGTGATTGTGGCTGAATTTGACTCGTTTGTGCTGGTAACAGCGTATGTACCTAACGCAGGCCGGGGTCTGGTACGACTGGAGTACCGGCAGCGCTGGGATGAAGCCTTTCGCAAGTTCCTGAAGGGCTTGGCTTCCCGAAAGCCCCTTGTGCTGTGTGGAGACCTCAATGTAGCCCATGAAGAAATTGACCTTCGCAACCCCAAGGGAAACAAAAAGAATGCTGGCTTCACGCCACAAGAGCGCCAAGGCTTTGGGGAATTACTGCAGGCTGTGCCACTGGCTGACAGCTTTAGGCACCTATACCCCAACACAGCCTATGCCTATACCTTTTGGACTTACATGATGAATGCTCGATCCAAGAATGTTGGTTGGCGCCTTGATTATTTTTTGTTGTCCCACTCTCTGTTACCTGCATTGTGTGACAGCAAGATCCGTTCCAAGGCTCTCGGCAGTGATCACTGTCCTATCACCCTATACCTAGCACTGTGACACCACCCCTAAATCACTTGGAGCCTGGGAAATAATCCCCCTAAACTACCATTCCTTCTTTAAACACTCTGAAGAGAAATCTGCATTGTATTTCTCATCTATAAAAATAGGAATCCTCCAGCCAGGCTCCCGCAGCAGACTTAGATTTCTTTTAAGCTCAAGATTTTTTTGAGGGTTTCTTTAAAAAAAAAAAAAAATTGAACAAAGGCTACTAGTAACTTTGTTTGAATTATCCACATGAAAATAAAAAGCCATAGTTTCATCCTTGCTGTCTTTGTGTCTTACCCCTTCGTGGGGCTACACATTCCCTTTCTCCTTATATTTTCATGCATACAAGTTAACAACTGAAAAAGGGTAGAGTCATGACCTTATTTATTTACAAGCACAGGATAAGTCCCTAACCTCCCCAAAGACAGAGCAACCCTACCCAGCCCAGTTAAAATACTGCAACTGGGGGGTAAAAAAGGTTGGAAGGAGGAATTAGGGAAAATTCAGGAATAGGGGAACGTATCCCACATTAAATAGTTATATATACATCAGTTCCTGTGGTTCTGTACAGAGCAGCGGCTGACCCCACCCCCACAGGACACAATGTGGGGAGAGGAGACTGAGGGTTTTGAGGCCAGAGCCAACCCCTGGTGAAGTGCAATAGCAGCAGCAAAGTCCCAATGGTGCACAAGAAGGAGGGGAACCCCCAGGGCTACCCACCCCCACCCTGCCCTGGAATGTATAAGGGACAGGAATGGCTCTCAGGGAGCACACAGGAAGGACAAGGCTGGAACCGTCTTTAGGACCCAGTTTTAAGGGCAACATCTGCCTACTTCACCCTAGACACAGCAACCCTTGGAGGAAAGCAGATGGTCAGCAGTGGTCTTACCTGCCCCTCCAAACCTAAGTGAGGGCCTGGTTCCTTCCTACCTCTCCCCAGGGAAAAGAAAGGCAGCTGCTTGGCTTCCTTATAGAAGCCCAGGGAGCCTTTTACTACCCCAGCTCCCTTTGTAGTGTCACTGTCCCCACCAGGGAGGGGCCAAGCACAGTCTTGTGGGTCATCAGGCTCAGGAGAAGTTCTGGACAGGGTGGCTGACCTTCATACAGGCCCAATAAAGGGCCCGGCCCAAACACAGCACAGCCAACAGGATGACAAATGCCCAGGCGGCATAGATGCCTCCATATCGCCGTGCATGCTTCCATGTGCCAAACTGATGAAGATACGGAGGGAGAAGAAAAGAAAGACGGGGTTAATGTTGGTCTCCACTACCTCCTATTAGTCCTAAGAACATAGTAACTTGGGCTTCAGTCCTTGTTTCCTATCCACATGTAGCCACCTTAAAGGTAGTTGTTCAGCTCCCTTCCCTTAGGCAATAACATACTCATCCCATCCCACACTTACCTGTCAGTTTTTCTTAATATCTGACAAGAGAGCCAGGTTTGCAAATAGCAACTTTTACATTAAGCACTTCTCCACTGTCCTATCCTCATCCTACAGAGAGAGGATGGCTGTTTTTCACTCTTTTAGTAATAATAAAGACTTTTATCTGCTACCTTCCATTTCAGCTCACACATATATTAAAACTACTCCCCCCGGTTTCTTCCATTTTCTTTAGGGTAGCAATTTCCCAAATCTTAGCCTATGGAGATGAGGCTGAAGAATTAAAGAGGTGGGGCAAGGGTACTCACAGCAAGGCCAGTGGCAGTGACTGCCAAAAGCAAGCCAAGCAAGAAGCAGCAGATACATCTCTTACGTGGGTATCTGCGCCCAATAGATGACCTGTGGGGAGGCAAATAGAAATGGATGCTTTCAATGGCCCTGAAGTTTTTACTCCATACATCACTCAATCACCAGCTCAATCCCTAATCACTTACACTTTCCTACAGTGAGGACAACGTGCCAAGGTGCGGTCTGTGAACTCTGTCCACTATAAAGAAAGGAAATAAAAATAATAGCAGAAGCAAGGTCCCCCTCAATGAGAACCTTCGGGTTGGGATGCATAACATGTTCCCATAGGACAGACCATTCCAGGTCATTATCATTACTTGGAGAAATATACTCGAAAAGACTCCTAGTCTCCTTTCCCCTCCCCTTTCCAATATCCCTTCCTCACCAGAAAAGTATTTTTGCAATGTCCACAGATAACCCTGACGCCCATGGGTTGTGGTTCGGGACTCAGAGGTCCGGGATGCACAGGCCCCAGGTTGATGATTCTTTTGCTGTACAAAAGAAAAAGACTATGTTTGAAAAGTTTTTAATCCTAAAAATCCCCACACAGTCCTTGTTGTACATCCCCTACTCCCTGCTTCTCTATCAAGTCATTCGATTTCTCTGTACACTTAAAATACTCGGTCCCCAACTGTATACCCTCAAGAATCCTTGAGAAAGAAAGAGCACTGCTTAAACTTCAGGTCCCTAATACCCCTCTTGACCTTAGGATAACACACCCAGTCCCCAAGGCTTTCTATTTTCCTAAAGGACATCATTTCATCTCAACATCTTTACTAAGGACATCATTTCATCCTAATATCTTTATTGAGAAATGAGAAAGACAGCTATAACATTCCTGAGGCACATGCTCCATAGCCTTTTCTCCTCCTATTAAACCCTAGGCTCTCTCACCTTTATATTCTCTATATACATTTATTCTTTTTTTTTTTTGACTTTCTAGTTCCCCACTTATGCCCTTCTCCACCTTATGCCTCTTACCAGTAGGGCCGGGGGCAGGCAATCCGTTGGGATGTCACTTTGCAGATAAGGAGACAGTTACAGGGGCATCGAACATATTTTTTCCCTGGGGGTGCATTCTTGATTGGCTAGAGAATAATAGGGTCATCAGCAAGCAAACCTCTAATCCCAATCCCTTCCACTTCCCTCCAAAAAGACTTTATGACATCAGAAAGATAAGGTGCTAGCCAGGAAGGAGAAATAAAAGACTCTATCATGACATTTGCTATGTGTGAAGATGAATAACAGTAAGCATTAGCTTTGGTGAGCGGCTTCTGGGGAAACAGCTGTGTAAGACACCTGGAACTGAAACCTGGGTATCATCAAGAACACTTGGCAAAGAGCCGGAGGGTCAGGGTTTCCAATCAAGAGACCAGAAAGAGGATCCAGGAAACGGGGCCCATTTCATAGATTTGTATAACTCACGGTGGCTTCATTGCAGACACCACATTTGACTACATGCTGATGCATCTTGCCTTCCACGTTGATGAGAGATTGGCAGACTCGGCAGGTGATCATAGGGGCACTCCCACTGTCTGGGCTGGTCAAGGGTGAGTAGGGGGGTGGGTCCTCCCCAGGCAACACGGCTGGATGCCCCTCGGGGAACGGGGGAAATGCTGGAGAGAAAGTAAATCAAAAGAAGGGCTGGGGTCACTTGCAGACACCCTCCACTGAGGCTCCACAGTGGTAGGGAAGACTTTCTGATCTTCAACTCTCTGACCAAGCTCGGAGGGCTTCTCATAATCCGCGCTTCTATCAGGTTGCTCAGAAACCCCTTCCGTCCCCATGCTGTAGTCACGATTTCGAAGAGAAGGAAGCCTCGCCCAGTCACAGGTGCAGCAGTCCCACACCTGGCGACTGGGCCCCGCCTCCGCCCTCGGTCCCGCCCCCTCCCCGGCTTTCAGAGTTCCCTGGGGAGCACCTCGGACCCGCCCCGGCTTACCCTGGGGCGGGGCATGTTTACCGGCTCCGTACGGTGGTGCGGAGGGGGTCAGGCCTCCCCCGGGCCCAGCCCCACTCCCGCCTGGCCCCACTAAACCGTTGCCGCCCGCGCCACCGTCGATAGGCTCGGACAGCAGCGGGGAACGCTCTCCATCTGCCGCCATGGCTGCTACCGCCGCCTCCCGCTAGGGTCGGCAATCCGGCTCCCTTAGCCTCTGCCGCTGCCGCCGCCGCAGCCACTGCCGCCACTGCCGCCGCCGCCGCCGCCGCCGCCGCCGCCGCCGCCGCCGCCGCTACCGGGTCCCCAGGGCGCCTGCGCGCCGCGCGCCCGGCTCACTCCGCAACCAGTGGCCTGCCCCGCCCCGTTCCATCCCGCAGCACGTGATAGGCTATCCCCGCCCCGGTCGTGTTATTATTCGCGTAGACAAACCAATTCCTGGTCCTGTGAAGGCAGCTCTCCTTTTCTATTGGGAAGCGTCGCACAAACGTCAACTGTCACATGACCTGCCAGATGCTGCTGGGCTTGCAAAACCTGCACGTGACTAGAGGTTCTGCAAGCTATTGGGAGCGACGCCCATCGCGCTACCTCCAGACCAGGAGGTGGGGCTAGGCTGCTGCTGCTCCACTGGTCACGTGTTTCTGGAAGCTACACGGCCTCTGTTGCTCTGCTTCTCATTGGTTCAAAGACACCATTAAAACACTTTTCTCCGGCTTTCGGTTATAGCTGGTTTTCTATTGGCTGGTGACTTTCTTTCCCTCATCCTGTGATCCTAGCGGCGCAACTGCATTGGTCCGAACTTAGCTCCAGAACTTGAGGGGAGTGGCTTATGCGTTTTAAAGGAGGCGGGGCGGGCACAGCAAGGGAGTGCGGAAGCTTGGGATGTTCTAAGCAGAGAGGTGGGACGGTAGGGAACAGTAGACAAAGCCATTCTACTCAAAGAAGTACCTTTAAAAAGTCAGAGCCATGATGTACGAGGAGGAATGGTTTAAAAAGTTAAGATTATCACTCCAGTCTTTAATGCTGGAGTCACTTTCTGAACCGGACACAAGACTGGGTTCTCCTGGAACCTGTCCTTACAGATCCCGCTCTTACCCCATTGCTGATCAAATTGTTAAATTATCTTTTCATGAGTGTCTCCACTACTAGAAGATTTCATCGTTTTACTTAAAAAAAAAAATGTCAATAGAGATGGGGTCTTGCTTAGGCTGGACTCAAACTCCTGGGTTTGATCTCCTGCCTTACTTCCCCAGTAGCTGGGACTACAGGCACAAGCTACCATGGCTTTACTCAATTTTATGACCACCAGCCCTTAACATATGCACAATTGTCTGTTGATTGAATTAATCAAATCCAAGATTATTTCCATCACCTTATTTGACAGATGGGACAGTCTTTAGACCTGTCTCAACTTTGCCCCCAGGAAAGAGGCAGTGCCTCCTCCCCTACCTGCAGTCTGGAGTGGTCTTTATGGGCGCCTGAACCATGCCTGGGTTTTCCCAAGTCGTAACCCAAATTGGGACTGCTTTAAATATGGGAAGCAACAAAGAACTGATAAAAACAATAAACTCTGAGGAAGTCCATTATCAGTTTTTGCTAGCAGACTCTACACTGAGAAAGTTCCCCAAATATTTAACAATGAAGGAACTACTGATGTCCCAGCACTTGGCTGCTACAGGGGCTCAAGACTTCACCTAGGTCCTGATTTTTTAGACAGGGTTTTCTCAGGCCAACTTCTACTTAGAAGCTAGTGTCCTTCCGCCAGTTAGATAAGAGCCCCTAACAGACACTTAACTAAGAAAACTCCAGATATAAAATAGAGAAGAGGTTGTAGCTCCATAGAGGGAGGCCGGTCTGCTGTTCTCCCTCCTGTTTGTGGCACACAGACGCTCAAGCCTTGTCTGGGGTTGGAGTAGGTTTCATTATTTGCACCCTAGGTACACATATATTCCAAAATATTTTTTAAATATATACACTTTGTGAAAGACACTCCTTAAAAAAACTTACACTCTGAGCAGGGAGATAATGTAAACGTTGACAGTATAAAATATCATGCCAGGAGTGGTGGATCATGCCGTAATCCCAGTGTTTTGGGAGGGTGAGGTGGAGGATGGCTTGAGCCCAGGAGTTCAGTTACAATGAGCCATGATCTCAGCCTGGGCAACAGAGCAAGATCCTGTCCAAAAAAAAAAACTCAGCACTAGTATTTTATTACATGGAAAATTATCAATACTAGAAATTTGTGATACAGCACATGCTTCATAATAAAAGAATGAAACAATGTAACACAAGCTCAAGAAAAGAAGAGGTCACTAGAGCAACCAGAGAAAACTTTTAAAGCATAAGAAAAAATTAATGTTGTGCATTGATAACTTTGACTTAAGCTCTGTGTTGAGTAGGTCAATAGGCAGAAAAACGCACAAAGTAATCATAATATTTGTAACTTGCTCACAGTTAATAAAGCACTTTCATAGTTGTATTCATTTTATTTCAGAACCCACTGTGATATGGACAGGGAAGCCAAGACTATATCTTTATTTTACAGATGTAAAACTGTAAAAAAAAAAAAAAAAAAAAACAAACTGAGGCTGTGTAAACTGGAGTCATTTAAGTGGCAGAGTGAAATGGAGCACTAAATCTCGGTCTTCTGACTTATGATCTAATGTTTTACATTCAAATAATTTGATAGGTAGATTGAAAGGGGCAGAAGCTGCTTGGGATGGGCCCCCTTTTATGCTAAACGCCCGGAACATAGAAGCTTCTTGATAAATGGCTCTCAAGTTAATTAATGAAGTAACTTAAGCCCCATCTTGGGATAAATTTGCTGGGTACTGAACAATATTGTTAGCTGCAGTTGCAAGAAGGGCAGATACTCAGCTGGGGCACTACAGGGTGGCTGGTGTTGGTCGTTTATGGTGGCATTGATTCTGATTGTTTCGTACCTGTATTATACAGATAAATCATTTTAATATTATCTCTGGTAAATATTGGGTATCTCAGATATTGCCTGGATTTTACTTATGGGTTGGGGTCCTCCCACTTAGATTGAGAAAAATTAGAATATTAAGGTGTATTAGTTTGCTAGGAGTGCCATAACAAAACACTACAGTTAGCATAAATGACAAATATTTATTTTCTTACAGCTCTGGAGTCTGGAAGCCCAAGATCAAGATATTGGCACACATGGCCTATTTTCTGCATGTCTTTTTGCTTTCTCTTCCTCTTTCTCGTCTTCTTTTTCTTACTTTTAGAGACAAAGTCTCATTCTGTCGCCCAGGCAGAAGTGCAGTGGTGCAGTCATAGTCTGTGGTAGCCTTGAACTCCTGGGTGCAAGCAATCTTGCCACCTCAGCCTACCAAGTGGCTGGGATGACAGGCGCATGCCACCATTCCTGGCTAATTTTTTAAATTTTTTGTAGAGACAGGGTCTCACTATGTTGCCCAAGCTGCCCTCTGGTCTCTAACTCCTGGGCTCAAGTGATCATCTAGCCTTGGCGTTCAAAATGCTGGGGTTACAGGCGAACACCACCCTGCCTGGTCTCTTTTTTTCTTGTGAGAACCACAGTCTTACTGGATTGTGGCCCCACCATTATGACCTCATTTAACCTTAATTACCACTTTAAGGTACTTATCTCCAAATATAGTCACAATGGGGGTTGGAGCGTCAACCTAAGACTTTGGGGGAACAAACTTCAGTCCATAATAGAATATAAAGAAATTGTGAAGATTTCAAAGCAGTTTTTTCTTTAGATTTCCAACCAAGTGATATCTAGTACATTGTATACATAGCCAAAGAATGGAGCGAAAAACATCTGCCTGGCTTCTATGACCCAAAGTGTCCTAATTTGATTTCTTTTTTTTCCCACATACTTCCTCTTTCCTGAAGTGGTAGTTTACCATCTGTGTGAAAACAACACAATCTCTTACTGCATTTCAAAGGCAAAGAAAGTTTCTGGTAATGTGCAGAGTGAGTTAACTAAAACCGGGATAGTTTGTTTCAGGGGTTGGATGGGATGGGGTAGGGTGCCTGGTTTTAAGGGATTAATTTATGTTAATTACATTGGTACTTTGCTCCCTTGTGCTTCTTGTACTTATGGGATGTGTGCATCTGTTTGGCACATACAGATACACATATCCCATGAGTAACTATTTGTGCTTATTTAAGAATGAAGTAAATATATATTTTTTCAATTTGTGTGCATTGTTATTTTCAAAGTAAGTCCTCAGGAACCAGCTACCTAAAAACTAAAACTGTTAGGTATTTCTTTTGACCTAGAGGAGCTGTGAAAAATAATTGGTGAGCTACTGAACTGAGAAATTTGGAGCTCTGGACTGAGGTGTTGAAAACAGATCAAAACGGCAAGAAAGGAATAGAGTACGGGGATTTGGTTTTAGATGGCCTAAAGAGACTAAACGTTAAATAGACATTTCATGTATTTAACCACTATGTGTCTGTGTTCACAGTGCAGCAGATAGTTCACACTCACAAAACACCTGAAGATTGACATCTGTACATTTTGGCAGTCAAAAACCTCTGGGAAAACCAGTAAAAGATGTGAAGAGATGTAAAGATGATTTGATCGTTCCTCATATGATGACCTTCCTGGGCCTCAGTTCTTTGTTCTTTCCTTCAGGGAATTCTTGGCCTCCTTTTTTGGGAGCCAAGGTCTTTGGAATAGAGGGTGGTAGGCCAGTTCTTTACCTCTACTCTGTTCTTCTTGCTACTGAATGAGGCATAGATGGAAGTCTCACTCTTAGAAAAGAGAAATAACAGTGATCCCTGTAACAGAGAGAAAAGGGCCGGGTGTGGTGGGTCATGCCCATAATCCCAGTACTTTGGGAGGCTGAAGTGGGAAGTTTACTTGAGCCCAGAAGTTTGAGACCAGCCTGGGAAACATGAAGAGACCCAATCTCTAAAAAAAAAGAATAAAAAAGAGGTGAATGTGGTGGTGCAGGCCTGTAGTCCTAGCTACTTGGGAGGCTGAGGAAGGAGGATTGTTTGAGCCTAGGAGATTGAGGCTGCAGTGAGCCGAGGTTGAGCCACTACACTCCAGCCTGAGCAGCAGAGTGAGATCCTATCTCAAAAAACAACAACGACAGGAAAAAACCCTGAAATGTTTCTCCAATTTCGGTAATTGGAGAAAATGGAAGATCAAAGATTATGATGGTAAGGAGAGTCTTCTTTTTGTTTTTGTTTTTGTTTTGAGACAGTCTCACTCCGTTGCTCAGGCTGAAGTGCAGTGGTGCCATCACGGTTCACTGCAGCCTTGACTTCCTGGGCTCAGGTAATTCTCCTGCCTCAGCCTCCCTAGTAGCTGGGACCACAGATGCCACCACACCTGGCTAATTTTTGTATTTTTTGTAGAGATGGGATTTCACCGTGTTGCTCAGGCTGGTCTCAAACTCTTGGGCTCAAGTAATTCTCCAGTCTTGGCCTTCCAAAGTGCTGAGATTACAGGTCTGAGGCACTGTGCCTGGCCAGGGGTAAATATTTTTTAAAGAGCATATTTATCTTGTGAAATAGAGAGAATGAGAGATCTCAGTTCAGATGGCAGGAATAAAATAGGTTCCCTACCTTAAGAATCCTGAAAGACCTATAGAGTCAGCTTCTATAATTGTTGACATTGGGAGTCACTATCCCCACTCCACAAGGCAATACTGAGTGACTTGGAACCTATTCCTGCCACTTTTGTTTTTTAGTTACCTTGATCTTGAGGGTGGAGGGTAAGTGTGTTACTAAGTATGTTCCTGGACAAGGAGTTCCTCTGAAGATAGAAGTAATGAGACGACAGAAGAAAGGGTAATAAGGCATTAATGAACTAATCACCCTAAGACTGATGATTGTTTGGTTCCTGTCTACAGGAATGCTACAGGAACTCTTTTACCCTAAAAGTAAATAATAAAGCACAGTTCCAGTTTCATTTATGTGGATACCAGGTGGCAGTGACTAGAAAAGATAAGAGCAGTGCTGTTTAATAAAACTTTCTAGCCGGGCACAGTGGCTCACGCCTCTAATCCCAGCACTTTGGGAGGCTGAGGCAGGTGGATCACGAGGCCAAGAGGTCGAGACCATCCTGGTCAACACGGTGAAACCCCGTCTCTACTAAAAACACAAAATTTAGCTGGGCATGGTGGCAGGTGCCTGTAATCCCAGCTACTCAGGAGGCCTAGGCAGGAGAATTGCCTGAACCAGGAGGCGGAGGTTTCAGTAAGCCGAGATGGTGCCATTGCACTCCAGCCTGGGTAACAAGAGCGAAACTCCATCTCAAAAAAATAAAATAAAATAAAATAAATAATAAAATAAATAAATAAAACTTTCTGGATGCTGGAAATGTTTTTTATGCTATGTAATATGGTAGCCACTAACCACATGTGGCTATTGAGAAGTTACAATGTAATTAGTGTGATTAGAGAACTGAATTGTCATTTTTATTATATATTTCATTTTTTTCTTTATTTTCCACCTAGATTTCAGAGGATATGTATTTCATCTTAATTAATTTTATTACTTTTAAATAGCCACACACAGCTAGTGCCTTCTGTTTGGAACAGTGTAGGATTCATTGGAATTGATAGGCTAGATATATTTTTATTTTGATCCAATATATGGTTAGGTGAGTCTAGAAACATCAAAAAGAAAAAGAGACAATGGAGATTAATAATAATAGCCAGCATTTAATGTGTACTTATTATACATCCAGGCCCTTACTTAAACGTGTGAAAGGTATTCTATATAATCCTTACAAAAATAGTACTATTATCGCTATTTTACAGATGAAAAAACTGAGGCATAGGAGGAATTTTACTTGCCTAGGATCACATAATGAGTAAGTAAGGGGTGAAGATGGCATTCATACACAGGTATTTTTATTAGAGCCCATTCATTTACATTACATAGATTCAGGAATGAGGTGGCATGGAGTGCCGGGGCCATGATTTCCAAACTCTGTGCCGAAGTACAAGCTCACAGGGATATTGTAGAATATTTTTAATTTTGAAAGGAAACACAGCAATATTTGGTATTTTTTGGTTTTTGGTTTTTTTTTTTTTTTTTTTTTGAGACGGAGTTTCGCTCTTGTTACCCAGGCTAGAGTGCAATTGCGTGATCTCGGCTCACCGCAACCTCCGCCTCCTGGGTTCAAGCAATTCTCCTGCCTCAGCCTCCCAAGTAGCTGGGACTACAGGCACGCACCACCATGCCCAGCTAATTTTTTTATTTTTAGTAGAGACGGTGTTTCACCTTGTTGACCAGGATGGTCTCGATCTCTTGACCTCGTGATCTACCCGCCTCGGCCTCCCAAAGTGCTGGGATTATAGGCGTGAGCCACTGTGCCCTGCCAATATTTGGTATTTTTTAAACACTGTGTGACCTATTAACTTGAGGTAATTCACAGTTGGAACATTAGATTGTGCTACATTCCTTTTGACGATAATATATCTGGCTGGACGTGGTGGCTCACACCTATACTCTCAGCACTGTGGGAGGCTGAGGAGGGCAGATCACTTGAGATCAGGAGTTCGAGGCTAGCTTGGCCAATATGGCAAAACCCAATTTCTACTAAAAATACAAAACTTAGCCAGGCATGGTGGCAGGCAACTATAATCCCAGCTACTCAGGAGGCTGAGGAAGGAGAATGGCTCAAACCCAGTAGGCAGAGGTTGTAGTTAGCCAAGATCGTGCCACTGCACTGCAGCCTGGGTGACAGAATGAGACCCTATCTCAAAAAAAAAAAAAAAAAAAAAAAAAAAAGACAACATATCTTTACAAAAGATAGAAAGATAGAAGGTCCTTCTGATAAAAATTAAATACTATGTTAAAAAAAAAAAAGTACTGTGTAAAAAGCAGCATGGGATAGAAAATGAGGGTGGCAGCCTTGGATTCCAACATGTGAGTAGTTGAGTAGTGCCAAACAGATGCACATATCCCATGAGTAACTATTTGTGCTTATTTAAGAATGAAATAAATGTTTTTCTATTTGTATGTATTGTTACTTTCAAAGCACTAGCAAGTTCTCAGGAACCAGCTACTTAAAAACTAAAACTGTTAGGTATTTCTTTTGACCTAGAGGTGCTGTGAAAAATAACGGTGAGCTACTGAACTGAGAAAGTTGGAACTCTGGACTGAGGTGTTGAAAACAGATCAAAACGGCAAAAAGGAATAGAGTACGGGGATTTGGTTTTAGATGGCCTAAAGAGAATAAATATTAAGTAGACATTTCATGTATTTAACCACTATGTGTCTGTGTTCACAGCGCAGCAGATAGTTCACACTCACAAAACACCTGAATCTATACAGTTTGGCAGTCAAAAATCTCTGAGAAAACCAGTAAAAGATGTGAAGAGATGTAAAGACGATTTGACTGTTCCCCATATGATGCTGGAAAAACACTACAGAAAGTTGATCCTTTGTCCCCCCATTTTTTTTTTTAAGATGGAATTTCACTGTTGTTGCCCAGACTGAAGTGCAGTGGTGCAATCTCGGCTCACTGCAAACTTCACCTTCCCCCTGGTTCAAGTGATTCTCCTGCTTCAGCCTCCCAAGTAGCTGGCATTACAGGCATATGCCACCATGCCGGCTAATTTTTTTATTTTTAGTAGAGACTGGGTATCTACATGTTCATCAGGCTGGTCTCAAACCCCCGATCTCAGGTGATCTGACCACCTGGGCCTCCCAAAATGCTGGGAGTACAGGCATGAGCCACCGCGCCTGGCTCCCCCCGTGTGTGTGTGTGTGTGTGTGTGTGTGTGTGTGTGTGTGTATTGCAGATTACTGCTTTACACTTTAGTCCAAGTGCATTAAAATTGATTGATTAGGTTTAAAGTTCCTTGGATACAATCATGTACTAATCTTGTCTTTTGTGTAAACTGGGTTAGATTTAGGGTATTAAAAAACCTTTCAAAAATTAAATAACCATAGATATTTCCTTGGACTCGTTTTTATGTATGACTGGTCTTATCCATTATATTAAATAATGCTTTCAGTGTTCCCAGTCCAATAACAGTCTCATTGCTAATGTGAAATTTTGCTTTTAGATCACTTTGTTGTTACCTTTAGTAACAATATAGCAATAATGCTAATGATGACAGAATAAGCCATTTGTTTGGCATTGGGCTCAGTTCTTTACATATATTGTTTTTTAATTTACATATACTGTTTTTATTCTCGTGTTCCTAGCACTAGAACAGCACTGGTGCATAAATATAATTTAATTCAATAAATATTTGTTAAATGAATGAGAAAAACAGGGTTGGAAAATAATGGCTGGCCATGAAAGAGGGAAAAATGGCAAGCAGAAAAGATTAGCGTTTAGGCCAGGCGCGGTGGCTCAAGTCTGTAATCCTAGCACGTTGGGAGGCCGAGGTGGGTGGATCACCTGAGGTCAGGAGTTCAAGACTAGCCTGGCCATCATGGTGAAACTCCATCTTTGAAAAAAAGTTAATAATAATAATATTAATAAAGAGTTTTGAGGAGGGAAGAGGTGGAGGATTCCAATAGCTAAGCAAGGGTCATTGATTTGTGATTTGATGTGAGGTTGGTTAATTTGTAAATCTAGGGAGAAGAAATAGTTGTATTCTACCAAAGACCCAATATGTTATATTATGGTGCCTGTGCATTCTGATACCAGAATTTTCATCTTGGGAGGAGTCCTCGAATTATCTGAATTGATTGGATCAGTATTTCGTAGATCTAGGGATTATCTGCGTCCCTCCTTACCCAGTAAATCCATCCTCATCCTTTCTGTCGGTATCTAGGACCCAGAAATTCTTGCCCAAGAACTTTTTCTTCTCCCAGTCTGGGCCTGGATGTGCTCTTCTAAACCGAGTGACCTCCAAGTCAGCACTGCTGCTAAGGGCGACCCAGCTTACCTCATCCAGGAAGCAACTCAGACACAGGCTTGCTTCATTTTTATTCTGGGGTTGTACAATCTAAGGTTTGACTTTTTTTCTTTTCGAATCTCTCACGGTTTGCTATTGACACAGCCAGAATGAGGTTTGCAGGGAGACGGTTGGGGGCTCTCCTCCCTACTTCTACCCCTATTCCCTCATAGGCCTCCTTGCTGGGAACTCCTGCCCTGCGGACCCGAATGGGTACGGAGATAAAATACTGGGTGCGCCCGGCCACCTCCCTCACCCCCGTACTCCCGCCGGGGGAGAAGGTTTAGGGCTGGGAAGAACTCCGATTAGGTTTACAGCCCAGGCTCAGCAGATTGAATTAGGGTGTGTCACCATGGAGACGTGGCCGGCCCGCGTGCTTGCCTGCCATTGGCTGGGGACTCCAGGGCTGGGCATATAAGCCGACGCCTAGAGCAGTGCGGGAACCGTGCGGACCAAACAGATCTGCAACTTGCTCAGTCCTGCATAGCGGAGCTGATCCGAGCGGATCGGAGCACGCGGGAGCACACCCTAGCAGGCTAATCGAGAGGGCGTCTGTGGGACAATGGAGAACGGGTGAGGCGGGAACCAGGCCTAGAGGATCCCTGGGGAGGAGCGGGGTCTGTGAGACCCGAGAACCTGGCACACTGGGCCCAGAGGGAGGCGGGGGAGGGAACGAGTGCACTGGGGATGCAGAGAGGCCTGGCACGGAGCCTGGTGTCGGGGGCAAGGCAGCAGAGTCCGGCGCCAGCCAGCGCGGGCTGGGACGCACGCGGGAATCGAGCTGGGGTGGCGCCACCGGAGCAGGAAGGGGGCAGGTTTGTGAAGTCTAAGCTACTCCGGAAAAGGAGCCGTTGTGCGTCTCCTTGTGTGTGTTAGCGGTATCAGTGGAGAGTGAGTATATATATATATCCCTCACTGCATACCAAGAAGAGGTCTCCTCACCCGCTGCTCTCTTCATAAATTCCCATGCTAGGGTCTAGGTAAAGCTGCAAGGTACTTTCGGTGCTCAGATTCAGAGTTCCTCCTTTAAAGGAAAAATTGCTCACTTAGAGGAAAAATTGCTCATCTTTTTCGCCAGTTCCACCCCTCCCTTCCATCTGACTAACTCGGTGGGAACTGAGTCTTATAAGTGGAGAAGAAAAGCCTTAATCATCAAACTGAGCAACAGTCCTCTGCTCACTTTCCACACCCCACACCTTTGAAAACTCTTCTCTTTACTTTGGTCCTGGAAATCACAGTCCAAGTGACCTGCATTAGGCATCACAGTTGCTTTTGGATGCCCAGGAATCCAGGGTGTTCTTGAGGAGACTGAGCAATGAGAAATGTGCTATGAGTTGTAGCTAGACATGCCACGTGGCGGCAGCTTCACGTATCATTCATTTCCTTTGCACTTTTTGGGGATGCTGTTTGATTAACATTTTACCAATGCATTGCTTCTCTCCATTATCCTGTGGCTCTGTTGACCACCCCTCACCCTACCCTATCCAACTGTTTCCCTGAGGGTAGCCTAGTGTATTGTGCAATCATGTCTGGTTTCCCAGGCTCTGATTTGGGAGTAAAAAATTTCTTTTAGAAGCTTGGTTAGTCATGTTCAGCTCTGTCACACCTCATTTCCACCTCTGAAGCCAATCTTTGGTCTTCCCAGATGAGTGTGGGAGAACTGGACTTGGAACCAGGAGAAAAGTAACACGGGTTGATTCTTGCTAGTGTAGGGGTTCTGGGTAAGTTCTTGAATGGCAAAGATCCTCGGTGGAGAGTAAGGAAACTGGGAGGAGTCAGGGAGGGGGGAAAGACAGGAAGAAGACCACAGGAGTTGGAAAGCGGGAGAAAGATACAAATACCGTGAGTAAGGGAGCCATAAGTCTTTGGAGGTTGTTAGCAAGAATTCAATTCATTTTCAGATGGAGCCTATAAGGTCGATGGGGCCAATTACATTCCCTTGCTTATACCTGAGAAAAGAATTTGAAGCACAAATTACATACCTAAAAAGACAATATTGGGACTAGAATCTAGGTTGGGTTCTGTATCCCTCTAGACCAGCAATTCCTAAACCTGGTTTTTGAATTAAAATTACATGGGCTTCAGAATCTGTGTTTTGTTTTGTTTTTTATACAGGGTCTTACTCTGTCACCAGGCTGGAGCGTCAGAATCTGCCTTTCTAACAAGTTTCTGATGACAATTTGTGTAGTCAGTGCTGGTTTAGCCTTTGATAACCAGTGCTGTGGACTCGGTCTGCTTTTTTGTACAGTAGTTTATCTAGTTTCTAGTCTGGAATTACCCTCCTTGTGATCCAGGGAGCTAAGAATGGCACATAGACCTCTACCAGGGGTGTTCCCATTGTGTTTTATTGGTCAAAAAATGTAGCCCTTATGTATTTGACTGAGGAAGGAACTGGAGGAATGAGGGTTCAAAAGGAAATTTGAATTTATCCTTTCTGTCACGGTAGTTGGTTTATTACATTTTTAATGCCTTTATTTGATAGGATAATAAGGAGGACTTTACTAGGCAGTCACCACCCTCAGGAAGGACTTAATCCAATTTTTTATACTCTCCTTGGGCTTCCTCCTGGCCACACTCTTTTATTCTCCCTAATTTGATTATTTCATTGTACTTCCCCTGTAGACTCTGGTCCCTTCCTCTCTATATCTTTATTAAAAGGAGAGGTATTTAACTTGCCAGTGTTCAGTAGATCAACACTGGAGTTGGGTCTGTTAGTAGAAACAGGCTTTATTAACTTTTGCCAGGCTCTGGAATGGAGGGATTTTCATATCAGACTTGCAGTGGGCGTGATTCAGAAAGAAGGGTGGGTGAACATAGTATGGCCTCTCCCTCTATTGCAGCTTCTCTGTACCTGCTGCCTCAGTATACCTGCCAGCCTTTTTGTACCAAAGGTCATTTGTCTATGATGCCCTTGGAATGAAAGCAGAATTCACCTTGATTTTTTTTTCCCCCCAGATACACATATGAAGACTACAAAAACACTGCAGAATGGCTTCTGTCTCACACTAAACACCGACCTCAAGTGGCAGTAATCTGTGGTTCTGGATTAGGAGGTCTGACTGATAAATTAACTCAGGCCCAGGCCTTTGACTACAGTGAAATCCCCAACTTTCCTCGAAGTACAGGTACTGGCAGGCAAAAGTGGGGAATGGGACTCAGGGATGTTATTGGGATTCTGTGTATCACCAAGTGGGCCACTGTTTCTACTCCTTGACATACTATTTCACTGAAGACAAATGTTGTAAGAGAGGAGAAAAGCCCACCATGCCATGAGTCAGAATGACTTTAGGAGATTCCTTTAGCAGACATCCCACAAGAGACAGGGCATGTGTGTGTCAGTGGACTGAGGCTAAGACTTAGAAGAGGGCCAGGTGACGGGCCAAGTAAAGGGCAAGGGTTGTTTATTTGGTTTACTTGATTTCTCAAATAACTAACTTCTCTTGGTTTATTTATTAATTTTTAAGACTTCCATCTTCTTTTCCCTGGAAAGTTAAGAATTTTTTTTCAGACCCATCAGCAGGAAAAGACTTAATAGCTTTTTTTTTTTCTTTTTCTTTTTGAATAGCTATTTTTTTAAACCCTTTGAAGCAAGACTGGGAGAGCAGGGGGGAAGGTGTGGGAAATATTAAGAGAGGGTGGGCAAAGGGCATACTTCTCTAAGGGAGATAGTAGTGACATTGGCTCCACTGGCCACACCTATTCCCAGTGAGAAAGGCACTGCATTGAGTGATAAGTGGGTTAGCTTTTTAAATTTATCAACATGTTTATTTTTTATACTCCACTTGGGTTTCCTGTGTCAACTCTTTACTACTGTGGTGTTTTTTGTTAGTTTGTTTGTTTGTTTTAAGTTCCTCTATCTTTGAGAATTCCTCAGCTCTTCCTCTTGGTTCTGGTCCCTCTCCTATTCCCTAAGAAATAGGTTGGTTCATCTATTAAAAGTGATTGCCAGATAAGGGAAGTGGTAAATATGGCTGTTAAGACTGTGGGGAGTTATCTTTGCACTCGCATGTGCCCCTACATGGGCATATGCTGCCACAGGACTGTTCTGTGGGTCATAAGGAAAGAGACTTGCATGTGTTCAAATTCAGCCCCTTTTCTCCTTGTTCAATAGTCTCTTCTTTAGGAAGCCAGAGTAAGTATACCATGAGCTTGCTTGCTGGATTGAGGAGGCAGGTATTTAAGTTAGGGCAATATATAAGAATACGTGTTTTGAGACTTGGAAACATTTGAAGAGGTCTATAATTACTGCATTCACTGTATTCACTTTATTTTGAAATGGAGTCTTGCTCTGTTACCCAGGCTTGAGTGCAGTGCTGTGATCTTGGCTCACTGCAACCTCCACCTCCCTAGTTCAAGTGATTCTGCCACCTCCGCCTCCCAAGTAGCTGGGATTACAGGCATGTGCCACCACACCTGGCTAATTTTTGCATTTTTAGTAGAGATGGGGTTTCACCATGTTGGCCAGGGCAGTCTCGAACTCCTGACCTCATGATCCACCTGCCTCAGCCTCTCAAAGTGCTGGGATTACAGGCATGAGCCACTGCACCTGCTCTGTTTTTTATTTCATTTTTATAGATTTACAGGGGTGCAATGCAGTTTTGTTATGTGGGTATACTGCATGGAGGTGAAGTCTGTACTGTAGTGTAAACATCACCTGAACAGTGATCACTGTACTCACTAGGTAATTTCTCATCCCCCATTCCCCCTCCCACGTTCTCACCTTTCCAAGTCCCTAGTGTCTATTATTTCAGTCTGTAGGTCCATGTGTACACATTTGATACCTACTTACAAGTGAGAATATGTGGTATTTAACCTTCCATTTCTGAGTATCTACTTTTTGCTCTCTGACAGTATGGCTTATATTATCTTGAAATTTCTTTAAAGAACGCTTCCTTCGTATGTTCATGCTGAATGTCCTTACCCCATATCTCTAGTCTCAGGTTGTATTTGTCTAATTGTGAGTAATGCCTGGCTCTCCTACCAGACTTAAACTTTCTGAAAGCAGAGATAATAATGAGTCTTTTACTTAATTATTCTCTAACATTTTGAGCAGAGTGAGTAGCTTGCAGTAGGTGCTCAGTGGGCATGTGTTGCATGAAAATATAATCCTATTCATTTCTCTTTCATTTTTGTATACAGTGCCAGGTCATGCTGGCCGACTGGTGTTTGGGTTCCTGAACGGCAGAGCCTGTGTGATGATGCAGGGCAGGTTCCACATGTATGAAGGGTACTCACTCTGGAAGGTAAATTGGGGCATAGGCCTGGCTGGATCTGGAAATGGGAGAGAACTGTCTAGCCTCTTTCATTACCTAGCTATCTGGGCTAGGTGGACTTTGGTCCCCTCCTTCCTTTTCTTTCATGATGTATATCATGCATATCTGCGTAGCTGGATGAATGAAATTTTGTAAAATTGTTTCTGATCTTTTGCTTTGAAGGTGACATTCCCAGTGAGGGTTTTCCACCTTCTGGGTGTAGACACCCTGGTGGTCACCAATGCAGCTGGAGGGCTGAACCCCAAGTTTGAGGTTGGAGATATCATGCTGATCTGTGACCATATCAACCTACCTGGTTTCTCTGGTCAGAACCCTCTCAGAGGGCCCAATGATGAAAGGTATGTATCTTACTTTTTTTTTTTTTTAAGATGAGTAGGACTTAAGGGCTTCTCTAGGAGCTGTAGGAGAATTTTTAAAATTCCATTTATGTGAGATAATTCAACCTGTGTCCTAGGTTTGGAGTTCGTTTCCCTGCCATGTCTGATGCCTACGACCGGACTATGAGGCAGAGGGCTCTCAGTGCCTGGAAACAAATGGGGGAGAAACGTGAGCTACAGGAAGGCACCTATGTGATGCTGGCAGGCCCCAGCTTTGAGACTGTGGCAGAATGTCGTCTGCTGCAGAAGCTGGGAGCAGACGCTGTTGGTGAGAAGGGGAATTTGACTAGAGGCTTGAAGAGGGAGGGATTTCACAAAATAGGGATGGGAAGGAGAAGGAGATAACAGGCCTCATTGGATTAAGAGGATCTGATTTCAGGGAAGGGTGAATTAAATTGACTTATTAAGATACAAAGTGGTGAGATCTGGTGTTGTAGCATCAAATCTCCCTACGAAGCACCAAGGGGTTAACAGTTGCAGTGCTAACGAATGACCTATCCATGATTTGATGACTGTTTCTTTGTTTTTTCTTTTTTCTTTTCTTTTTTTTCTTTTTTTTTTGAGATGATGTCTCACTCTGTTGCCCAGGCTGGAGTGCAGTGGTGCAATCTCAGCTCACTGCAACCTCCGCCTCCCAGGTTCAAGCAATTCTCGTGCCTCAGCCTCCCTAGTAGCTGGGATTACAGAGCCACCACACCTGATTAATTTTTGTATTTTTAATAGAGATGAGGTTTCACCATGTTGGCTAAGCTGGTCTTGAACTGGTGACCTCAGGTAATCTGCCTGTCTCAGCCTCCCAAAGTGCTGGCATTATAGGCATGAGCCACTGCACCTAGCCAATTTGATGACTGTTTCTAAGAATTCTAAAAAAATTCACTATAGCCACTTTCTGTACCTCTAGCTGGAAGATGGAATTCTATCATTAGGACTGACTTCAAAATTGTCACAAACATAGAAATGAAACTTTGCACTGATAATTTTAAGAAATGTGTATTTATTTTAGGCAATACAGAAGAACAACATACCTCAACATAATTTAGCTGCTGCTTTGGATTTGTTTTTGTTTTAGGTGGGATCTTGCTCTGTTGCCAAGGCTGGAGTTCAGTGGCACCATCTTTAGCTCACTGTAGTTCCGACTGCCTGGGCTCAAGCAGTCCTCCCACCTGAGTCTCCCAAGTAGCTGGGACCAGAGGCATACACTACCACACCCGGCTAATTTTAATTATGTTTTGAGCTGTGGTCTCGCTACGTTGCCCAGGCTGGTCTGAAACTCCTGGGTTCAGGGTATCCTCCTGCCTTGGCCTTGAAAAGTACTGGGATTACAGGTGTGAACCGCTGTGCCTGGCCATCTTTGGATGTTTTTTTGAGATTTTTAATTCTTGTTGAAAGTGAGGCTAAAGGGCAAGGAAAAGAGTTATTTGAGGATCCTGACAGTGGTTTCCATCTTTCTCGCCATCAGGCATGAGTACGGTGCCAGAAGTCATCGTTGCACGGCACTGTGGGCTTCGAGTCTTTGGCTTCTCACTCATCACTAACAAGGTCATCTTGGATTATGAAAGCCTGGAGAAGGCCAACCATGAAGAAGTATTAGAGGCTAGCAAACAAGCTGCACAGAAGTTGGAAAGATTTGTCTCCATTCTTATGTCCAGCATTCCACTCCCTGACAAAGCCAGTTGACCTGCCCCGAGTGGTCTGGTGTCTCCCACACAAGATCCAAGTAGCTGCTACCTTTGGCACCCTACTGGAGTCATGTGCCTCTGTCCTTAGTTTTTAGCAGAAAGGAAAAGATTCTTATCTTTTACCTTCCCCACTTTCTTCCACCAGATCCTTCTGGTTCCAGATCTTCTTCTCAAAGCTGGGATCACAGGTGTGAACATAGTGAGACTTTGGCGCTACAAAATAAAGCTGTTCCCATTCCTGGTTTTTCTTACACAAGAGCTGGAGTCCATGCCCTACCACACATCTGCGGGCTCAGTTCTGCCTTATCTGAATCAACAGAGACCAAACAAGGACTAACTCAATACCTCTTGGACTTACTTAATGTCATAATGTAGTCAGAATAAAGATAAAGATGAAATGATTCCATTTTTTGTGCAACTTGGGTTGGGCTGGGACACGGTCAAGACTGGCAAAAGGACGTGAAACAGCATGTCTTGTGTGATGATCTGCTTCTTGGATAAGTAATTAGGAACTGGGATGAGATAGTATGTAAGTGCAGCAAAGGATGAAGGGCAAAATGATGGAAGGTGGGATAGAGGTTATGAGATGGTAGGGAAGCGTTAACTTCTGGCACTTGATGGCCACTTTCATCAGGCCAGCCCTGCTTCTCTCCCTTGCCTTCCAATTGTTTCATTTCCTGTCTGTTCAATCACATCTGAGTTAGTTGGCTGATTAGCCTCTATTCCTTCATTCCCACTTCCTTACCAAAGCCCTAATTATATTTCCTCTTGTTTGCCTTTTCTCTCCTACTCTTTAACTTCTGCAACCACATTCTCCATTCACTCCATTCTGACAATGCAGTGGCAAACACCTTTATCTGCTGCCAGCTACTCCATTGTTGACCGGATTCCTGCCAGCCCCAGGCAAACCTGTGAAGTTGATTCATCCTCTGCTTCTCTTTGAGTGTCTCCTTCTCTCCTCCCACTTCCTTTCTGGGCCCTAGTCTTGTGCTTGGTCAGAACCGTCCTGCGATGCTGCATCCAGGCATTCCCCCATATTGGCTCATTGCACTGTTATCTTTGATTTTTTCCACTGAACTGAGGTGAATTCTATGGTATATAAATTCATATTCCTATTAATGTATATGAAGATATATCTTCATATACATAAATAAGAATTGAGTAAATCTACTTACCAAATCCAAAAGCTTACAATGCACTTAGATATTCCACTCAAGTATCTCTAGGACATATTTTTCAGATGGCACCATTCTGATTCCTGGTCAGTCTAACCAAGAAGCAGATCAGGGGTAGGAAAGCCAAGTACCAAATGCAGCCCTCCTCAAACCAATTACCTTTCTGCCTGTCTCACCTAGAGCCTTTCACGTCCTGATCTAGTCACACCAATTGTGACAATGACTCATGTACATGCCTAGTACTTTTTGCTTCTCTGCTTTGGCTCATCCTGATGTGAAATCCTCTTCCCCTGCTTCATCCTTCAAGACTAGGCTTAATGTTTTCTATAAAACTTTCCCTAATATTAAGTATCCATCACTGTAACCAAAAGAAAAAAAGAAAATCTTTCCTTAATCAACTCAATTCTCACTGTTCAGTGTATACAGTCCCTCCTTTGAGCTCCCATGTGTGACTTGTACTCATTTTGTACAAGCTTTATACAACAGTGGCTTTGCAAATGAACTTTAAGGTTGTAGGGCAAGGCCAGGCACAATGGTTCATCCTCTAATCCTAACACCTTGGTAGGCTGAAGCAGGAGGATTGCTTAAAGCTCAGCAACATGAAACCCCATTTCTATCCAAAAATACAAAAATTAGCCTGGTGTGGTGGTATGCACCTGTGGTCCCAGCTACTCAGGAGGCTGAGGTGGGAGGATTGCTTGAGCCTGAGAGACAGAGGTTGCAGTGAACTGAGATCACACCACTGTACTGCAGCCTGGGTGACAGAGTGAAATTCTGTATCAAAAAAAAAAAAAAAAAAAAAAACACCACTCCAAGATGCTTCTTCTTTGTGCTGGGCACAGTTAAGTAGGTCAGTTACCAAACAAAGGATAATTTGAAAGTTCTCCAAAGCAGCCTGTGTAAAATATCTCTTCCATGTTATACCACTAACAACTAAAATGTTGTCACTACTAGAGGCTCATCCAGCACTGGTCTTTCTCAAAAGGCACATAGGCCTGGGAGGGTGGTATGGTTTTGAAAGATGCCAGCCAGCTGAATACAAAACGATAAGCAAAGATAATAGTGCAGTGAGTCACCAAGTGGGAATGCCTAAATACAGTATCACAGAGAGGTTCTGGCCAAGCACAAGTGAAGGGAAAGAGAAAATTTACACACCATAGAATTCACCCATTTAAGGTATGCAATTCAATGGTCTTTACTATATTCACAAATAGTGCCATTATTATTACCAGTTATTTTGAGATCATTTTATCACTTCAAAGGGAAATCTTATTTGCTCCCCTATAGCCCCAAACAACCACAAATCTACCTTCTGTCTTTATAGATTTAACTATTTTGGACTTTCACACAAATGGAACAGGATTTTTGTGACTGGCCTCTTTCACTTAGCATAATGTTTTCAAGATTCATCCAAGTTGTATTAGTTTTTTTTTCTGGTCAAATAATGTTCTATTGTGTGTCTATCAAGTGTCTGATTTCAAAAAGCCAAGCAGTACAGTCAAAACTGAGTATATCATTTTAGGATTGTAGGAGGATAAGAGCACAAAGGGAAGGGAAGTAGATGTGGGAAGGCTTCCCAGAGAAAACACTTTAAAAAAAATACAAAAAACTGGTAATGATATCTTTCTTTATTGAAGGGGCCTGTAAAATAGACTGATTTTACTGAGGCTCATGATAGGTGTCTAAACACATTCAAGTCAGGCTTGCTTTCTTGACCCTATCATGACCATCTTTACCAGCATCAATAAACATTCATTAATCATGTATTATATAGAAAACATAGTCCTAAAAACCATAATGTAAGTTGGTATAAGATGGAGTGCCTACAATCTAGATGTGAGACAGATGCATGCATAAAAAATAACTAGCTGGGTGTGGTGGCTCATACCTGTAATCCCACCACTTTGGGAGGGTGAGATGGGAGGATCACGAGGTCAAGAGATTGAGACCATCCTGGCCAACATGGTGAAACTCCGTCTCTACTAAAAATACAAAAATTAGCTAGGTGTGGTGGTGTGCGCCTGTAGTCCCAGCTACTCGGTAGGCTGAGGCAGGAGAATCACTTGAACCCGGGAGGTAGAGGTTGCAATGAGCCGGATAGCGCCACTGCACTCCAGCCACTAAGTGTAGCATACACTTATGCTAAGTGTCAACGATGGTATGTGCTACAGGAATTCAGAGAAGAGGACCAGCACCAGATTTGGACAGTAGGAAAAGATCGATGAGACCTTATTTAGGTCTACAGAAATGCCGGGCATGGTGGCTCCTGCCTGTAATCATACATACTAGGTGAGAGATTCACTTAAGCACAGGAGTTTGAGGCTGCAGTGGGCTTTATGACTGTATGGCTGTACTCTAGCCTAGGTGAGAGAGTAAGACTCCATCTCTGGAAAAAAAAAGATAGGTGAAGAGGACATGGCAGAAAGCATTACATATAGATGAATCCAGGAATGTTTAATCATTTAACAAGTGGAAATAGTTAAAGTGAAGAAATAAATGGGAGGATGGGCAGTAAGGTGGAGAAGAGCTCTGATTCCAGGCTCAAGAGTAGGACCTTAGGGCCGGGCATAGTAGCTCACATCTGTATCCCAGCACTTTGGAAGGCTAAGGTGGGCAGATTACTTGAGCCCAGGAGTTCAATACCAAGTTTGAGACCAGCCGGGGCAATATGGGAAACTTCATCTCTACAAAAAGTACAAAACTTAGCTGCACGTGGTGACGTGCACCTGTGGTCCCAGTTACTTGGGAGGCTGAGGTAGAAGGATTGCTTGAGTCAGGGAGGCTGAGCCTTCAGTGAGCCATGATAAAGCCACTGCACTCCAGCCTGAGCAACAGAGCAAGCCACTGTCTCTAAAAAGCAAAGCAAAACAAAACAAAAGAGTAAGACCTTATTCTCTAGGCAAGATGGCCAGCCATTGATAGTTTTTAAACAGGACTGATAGGTGAAAATTGTACTGTAGTATTTTGGTGGATAGAAACCTTACTAAAAGAGAAGCTTGTTTTGATAGTAGAATCACTTTCACCCAAAATTAACTGTACAAAGTAGCATAATTGTTGGTGCTAAGTATTTGATTTTTATTAGGCTGGGGTCATTTGTAATGCTTTAAAGATAAACTAGCCAGGCACAGTGGCTCACGCCTGTAATCCCAGCACTTTGGGAGGCCGAGACAGGAGAACTCCTTGAGTTCAGGAGTTTGAGACCAGCCTGGGCAACATAGTGAGACTCTCTCTGTCTCTTCAAAAAATTTAAAAATTACTATAAGCAGTATATAAAGTGAGAAGAACAAAAACAAGAATAAAAATTAGCTGGGCATGATGGTGCACACCTGTAGTCCCAGCTATTGAGGAGGCTGAGGTGGGAGGCTGGTTTGAGCCTGAGAGATCAAGGCTGTAGTAAGCTGTGATCACACCACTGCACTCCAGCCTGGGTGACAAAGCAAGACTCTGTCTCAAAAAAAAAAAAAAAAAAAAAAGCTGTTATAAAATAAAATGTAAAGGTAAAAGTGCTAACAACTTAGAGATGAAAATACACACTTAAATCAATAGTTTTCCCTTCTTTTTAATATAAAATTGTGAATAAGTATATAATCACATAGTTCAAAAATTAAGCAACATAAAATGTGTACAGTGAGAACTCTCACCTCTAGCCTGTCCTCATATGCCCTTCCTTCCACTCTTCCCCACCCTGTGGTAACCAGTTATTAGTTTCTTTTGCATTCTTCCAGGATCTATACAAATATAAACAAATACCAATTCAAATTCTATTTTTCTTCTCTTATTTTAAACAGTAGTTAGTATGTTATACATATTTTCTGAATCTTGCTATTTTATTTTAACATATCTTGGAGATCTTTTCACATTAGTGTATTTTCCTGATGACTTACGTCAATGCTGCCAAAGATAGATGTCTGTCACTTTGAGTTTTTTAGAAGCAAAGGGAGAATATGGTCTTGATTTTTATTGCCAATTCTCAGTTCATTCATTGATTACTAATAGGAATAGACACCAAGAGATAATGCCACCTGCTGCTCCTTTAAAGCACGGGGGTGGGAAGAAGAGAGCTATTCATGCTGTTCTGTGCCTTCTGCCTAATTTGATTTGGCTTAGACTTGTGTTGCCTTTTTTCCCTTGTGAACAGGCCCCTATTTTCATGATACTGTTTTGTTTCTAAGGGATGCCTTTGAACAAACGCTGGCTGCCTGCTTGGTTTTTCTGTTCTCGTAAAT